GGGCAGGTGTGCAGGGCTCTGAGGATGAGGGGCTAAAGCTCAGAAGGGACAGAAGGTGCAGCTGTCTCTGAGAGGCCTGTGGCGGGGGGAGGGGGTAGTGGCTGAGGGTGGAGACCTCTCCTGCTGGGGGTGTCAGGGAGTAGGGACCTCCTCTGAGCCTCAGAGGTGAGGTCTCTAGGCAGGGTGGGGCAGCCCTCACCGGAGGCCAGGTGGATGGTGGCCGCAACCAGCCTGGGAAGCAGGCTGTCCAGGGCGCTGCCCTCCTTGATGGCCTCCTTCACCATGAGCCAGTCCTTGTCCAGTTTCCACGAGGTCGGCAGGCTTGGGTGCACGGCTGGCACCTCGTCCAAGACCTGCAGCTGGGGGATAAGCTGCCTCACCTCTGCCCGGTAGTCGTAGCCCTGGGGCGCCTGTAGTGTCAGGGAGGGGGGCCACCAGGCTAGCATCATCCTGCAGCCGCCTCCCCCAGACCCGCTGTGGGCAGGGGAGCTGGGGGCTGCTGATGCTGCCCCATTCTGGACAGGCTGTCAGGCTGGCCTGGGTCGCTTTGGGACACCAGGGACCGCAGCAACCCTGGGCTCCCACCCATAGATGACCTCACTCTCCAGGCTCACTGCCAGGGTCCAGGGGTGCCCTCTGGACTGTGGAGCTGCCCTGAGCTCTGAGCTCTGGCCCAGTGGGCGGCCACTCTGCACTGGCACCGGGGAGCAGCTGGGCAGGATGTGTTATCTCCAGGCATGTGTGAGCAGTGCAGGGGTGCGTGCAGCGGTGGGGGGTGTGAACAGGCCCTCGACACATCAGTGCATTTCTGCAGGGGATGGGGGGCTCTGACGGGGTCTGCAGAGTGTGTGTATGAGAGTATGTATTTGTGTACACAACTCTGTGTGGAGACCGTAGAGAATACATGTGCTTCCACTGGCACGTGCACAGACCTCAGGGGCCTGGCATGCCCTTTGTAGTCCCTTCCTGGCAGCTGCCGGGCCTCCAGCAACACGGGAGAATGAGCTCACAGTAAATGAGCCATAGGGTGCAGGAGGGCGTGCCCTGGGGGTGTGCCGCGGGGTCAGATGGGCAAAGAGGTCCCCGGGGCCACGGGGGTCCACAGGAGGGCCACGGGCTGGAGCCACAGAGCCCTGCCCCGTCCTGTGTGCGCACACCTCGTTGGAGGAGCCTGGGCCCGGCTGCAGGCACACGGGGTTGCCCTCCAGGGTGAGCGTGGCCAGCCTCGGGCACAGCTGCAGGTAGCACAGCTGGCCCAGGTCCTCCACGCAGTTGCCCTCCAGGTCCAGCACCTCCAGCTGTTCGAGCAGGCACAGCGGGCTCAGGTCCGAGATGTCGTTGTAGGAAATGTAGAGTTCCTGGGGCAGGACGGGGTCCTCAGCCAGGCAGGGGGCAGGGCCTGGCCTGGTACCGCCCCCCAGCCCACGGTGCTGCAGACCCACCTTGAGGGCCGGGAAGGAGCTGACGCCATCCAGGTCGGCCAGGCCACAGCGAGCCAGCCACAGCACCTGCAGGCGGCCCAGGGAGGTGCCCAGGTCTCTGCAGAGGGCAGGGTTGGCTGGTCAGTGCCGTCCTGGGTGGAGGGACGGGCAACTGTGGACATGAAGGCCTTGTGCCACGTCTGAGCCCATCCACCACCCACATCGGCTGTCTCCAGGCCCAGGGGCTCTGCGACTGGTTTGTGGCGGAGTTCCTGCTCCCTGCCTTCCCTCCTTGCTGCAGCCGCCTGGCCTTGGGCAGGGGCAGAAGTTCCTTTATCTTGTCCACCCCCTGGGGGGCTGGGGCCGGCCACAGCTGTGGGGAGCTGCCCTGGTGCCAGAGAGCTACTGCCTGCTTCTGAGGGGGTGGGTGAGGCGTCCCCTTCCTGGGGGGGGGCGGTCAGCCAGGGTGTCCTTCCTTCCCCTCTCCCCCGGCCCTCCCCCTGCCCAGCTGTGCCTGCAGGCTCTCCCCCGCCACCTGCCGGTGCCCCGGACTAGTGTCTGCCACCTTCCCTGGGGCAGGCCGGGGCTTTCCCACCCTAAAACAGCAGGCCTCCTGCCCCCGACCCCTCTGGGCCCCCAGGCCCGACACTACAAGGTCCTCTCAGCCTGGGCGTCCCTCCTCTTCTGTCAGGGCACTAGCCCACCACAGCATGTCCTGTCCACCGGCTTCTGGGATGTTCCTGAGGGCTTGGCTTTTGTGTTTTCTCTCCTCTAGGTCTCTGTGCTCACATCGGGAGCTTGGCCAATCCCACGTTCTCTGGGAAGGACCTGCTCTCGTCCCTTCTCCCTCCCATCTCCATCTCGGCCTTTCCCCTGCTTTCTGGGAGAGTTCCCTGTCTTCCAACGCTGCTAGTAACTTTCTTGTTGGCCTTCGCACATTTAATTCCTCAGAGCCCTTCTTGCTCGCTGACCTTTGTTCATAGCCTGCTGTTCTTGTCTGAAGAGGCAGAGGAGCCACATCTCCTTCCACGTCTTGGAACTCTCACTGAAGGCTCTCGGACCGCACTCCCCTCCCGGCATTGTCTTTTTCCTCCCAGGGGTCTTTGGGTCTGCTTTGACGTGTCCCTTTCATGCTACAGGTGCCGCAATATTTCTAATTATACTGTTGACAGCTTCTCGGGCACTCAGATTGGGAGTGAGGGTCTGAAATGTTGCTTGGAAGCGCTGAGCAACTGGGGACAGCGATGAGGGGGTGAGGTGGCTTCCCTGGGGGTACCAGTCGGTGGAGGTGGTGAGGGACCCCACATGGCCCCAAATGGGTTCTGCTGTGCTGGCCACCCTGCCTCTGCCGCCCGGCTCCAGCCGTGCTGACCCCCAGAGACCCTGAATCACACCCACACTTTGGCACCTGGGGATTTGGCACTTTCCCTTCCTCCTGCTTGGAGGGCTCTGCCTCCTCCCTGGTCCACGCGGAGGGGCCCTCACCTCTCAGGTGTTCCTGGCAGCTTCACATTTCTGCATGGCCTGGTGAATCCTTCCATTCATCTGGTTCGCAAATTCCCCTTCAGTTATGTCTCATCCACCACTTAACCTGCACTCTGTGTTTCCAGGTTTTGTTCTGCTCTGCAATCTCTACCTTTGCCTTAGCCTTTGTCCTTTAGTTACAGAGATTCCAGGTGTAGCCCCGTCTGCTGCCTTAAAGGGATTTTCCAATCACCTCTTAAGTGGCTGAAATTTGTGTCCGGTGATTTCCTTAAGAGGGGCGAATCAACTGTCTTCCCCGCCTCTGACGCTTTCCGGGATGCCGGCTGGCGGGAAACCTTCGGCTCACGCCTTCTTCCCACTGGGCATGTAGACGTCACTCCACTGTCTTCTGGCCTTGAGTATGTCTGTGTGGAAGTCTGAGGGGAACTTCATTTTCTTCTGCGTAAGGGAAGACCTGATCTGTTTACTTGGCTGCCCCCCAGTTTTGTCTTCATCTTGGAGCCCAGTGCCTTTATTAGGGTATGTTTCAGTGTTGGCGGTTCAGTTTCAGTTTTCTTTCGGTCTGTAGATGAAAGGCTGCTTTTATGTCCGACAAGTTTTCTTTACGTTTTAGACATTGGTTCTGATCTGTCGTTTCCGCTTGCTTCTGCGAGACGAGGCACGTGCCTCCGTCTGTCTGCCTTCTCCGGGATTTTTTCAAACCCCATTCGCAGCCACGTGGTTTTACTCATGTTTTCACGCCCGTCTTGCCCACGGTGTCTCAGATGGGGTTTCCTGTGGTATTTCTTTCAAGCTTGTCTTCATTTCCCTGACGGTCCTCTTGTTTGATTCCATGTCGTCCAGAGTCCCGTCCCTTGTCCTGCCTGTGGCCTGTGGTTCAGCCTGAGAGCCGGCCTGGACCTGGCTGCCTGGCCGGGAGCCCCAGGCTTCCTCTGGGTGGCTTTGTGCCCTCGGAAAACGGGGACCCAATTACGGTAGAAGAATAAAGGTGCAGATGATCAGTAGATTTTGCATCATCGCAGATTGAGTAAAAAAGTTACCAGATACATACAACTAATGAGAAAAACAAAGCACATACAATCTCTGGGACCCTGCCTGAGGCTGTACACAGAAAGTTAGATTTTGAATATATTAACCGGAACACTGGAAGGATTAGAACAATGAAGCTCAGCATTCAGCTCGGGGGGCCAGAAAAAGAACAGTGAATAACAAAAAGAGCTAGAAGGAAAGACTTGATGAAGATCAGAATGAAAGCAGTAGGAGCTGGAAAAATCAAAGGGCCCAGAGCGACTCTACCAAATTGATAGAGGATCCTCTGGCAAGACTGCTCAGGGATAAAAACAAAGACGACATGCATAAACACATGGAATTTAAGAAGGGGAACACTTAGGGCCACAGCAGCAATTTAAGACAACAAAAGACCACTATGAACAACTATGTGCCCACCGTCTGGAAAACCCAGGCAAGCTGGCACCAAAAGAGAAAACTTCGACTGGGCTAATAGCCACTAAAGAAATCAAACGGAGATGAACACTCCCCACGCCGCCAAGCCCACAGGTCTGGGCCAGTTTTAAAAGGAAGTTTGATCATGGAATAGACACTCTGTCTCCTACAGTCATTTCTTGTGCAGGGAGCGTCAGACAACTCAGCAGTTGAGAACAGTCAGAGGGAGGGTCCCTTTTGAGTCGGTCCTCGATTCCAGAACCAGAGAAGTGCAAACGAGGGAATTCAAGGGCTGTCACCCAAGAAAACAGGTGACAACTGCTGAGCAAATACTATTTTAAAGTTACAGTGATTTTTTAAATACTTCATCACCAGCAGGTATGTCAGTGCAGGAATGGAAGGGTGAATGACCATCACAGAATCCGTCACTGGAGTCTAGTTGGTTAATGGGCCAAAGGAGAAGTGTCATTTTATGGTCATGTCAGTAGACACACAGGGACTCAGACACGTGCCCACCAAGGTCAGGAGCAAAGCAAGCCTGCCTGCCACTGTCACTGCTGCTGGTTAACAGCGGGCTGGCCAACGGCCCTGGCCAGGCATAGGGCGGAAAGCAGCGGGGGAGCAGAGCGAATGGCAGTGCCCACTGCTTGCTGATGGTACGGCCGTCAGCACAGAAGCCCCAGTGGGATCGACCGATCACCTGAATTACTGTGAGCTTGGCGGTATCACAAATGCACAGTAAAGGGACAGAGCTGTCAGAGGTGACAGACCCAGTTACCCAGGTCAGTGGTGTCTTCCTGATTTAACACATCTATTCTAAACCAGCAGAATGCTTCTCTTCACGGGCAATACTCAGCCGGAAAACACAACAGAGACAGGGCTCCATGCGTGATTGCAGAGCTACTACAAACAGGTGGGAGTTAATTTAGCCTCTGCAGACATAACTATGTAAGATGCAGTCACACCACCCAGTACGACTGGTGAGCTTATAAACAGAGAATTTGGACATGGGGAGAAGGCCACATGAGCGTGGAGGCAGAGCCTGGGGTGATGAGTCTGCCAGGCAAGGAACCCCAAACGTGGCCAGCACCGCCCAAGGAGAGGGGAATGAAACAGGACTCCCTCAGCCGCAGAGGGAACCAGCGCTTCTGACCCCAGATCCTGCCTTGCGGCCTCCAGAACTGAAGAGTCAGTTCAAGCCGCTTGGTTCGTGGTGCTTTGTTCAGCAACTCTAGAGGACTGACACACTCCTCGGCCTGCCAACATGGCTGTAGCCATGCCGAGCATGCGAGGGGACTGGCCCTGGGAGCCGGGCTCCTTGACTGTCCCGGAGACAGTCCTGTTCTGGTCACTGATGTATCCTCCGTGGTTAGAATGGGCTTGGCCCAGGTGTGTGCCCACAAAAGTGAGGAATAACCCCTTGCTGCTGGGGCCAGCTGGACACAGGCTTCTGTGCCTTGCAGCTGACAGCATTCTGATAACGAACTTTACAGAGGGAGTCTAAAGGCTCTATTCAAAACATAAAAGAACACAGAATGGAGAGCTATACCATATTTGTGGATGTATGTAACTTAAAAATTAACCCAAATTAGCATATGAATCTTTTTTAATTAAAAAAAAATTCCAGAAGGAGTAGGGTGTGTGAAATCCAAAAAAACTGATTGCAAAACTCAAATGCAAGTGCTCAGAAATAGCTGAGTCAGTGTGGAAAAAGGAAAACCAAGATGAGGTGTCAGATACTCACACATTAGCGCAGAGCTGCACCAGTGCAGGCTGCAGACAGAGAGCGGGGAACACGCGGGCGTACCCGCGTGGGCCTGGAGAATGGCCCAGAGGACGCCGGTGGACCGCCGGTGGAGGAGGTCGGGAACACCGCCTCACCACATAGTGGAAAACACAACGGGGCCCCAGTCTGGTACCACAACCTGTTCTCTGTGTGGCAGCAACCTCACAGAGAAGCTGGATTAAAGACCCAAAAGTAAACAGTGAGACCACAAGCAGACAAAAGAAAAAGCAGAGTATCCCCAAGACCTTGGGGGTGTAGACCAACGTCCTAAAAAACACCCAAAGCACCAGCCAGAACGGATGGATTGGAACAGTGCAAACGAGGGATCGCTGTTTTAGTGAAAAACACCCTGGTCAGAGTTAGCGGGGGAAGGTGGGGTGGAGAGGCCTATGGGGTCTAAAATGCACCCCGGCTCTACAAAGAACTCCCAGGCATGAACAGGGAGAGGACAGAACCAAGCTGAAAACCAGCACCTGGGGTCACGCACACAGCCGCGCTGTAGTGAAAGCTGCCCCTTCAAGTATGTTAATTTCCAAATGAGCTGTTGCGTTTCCCAGATGGTTAGTGTGGTCTTCCCCACACGATTGTCCTGAGTCAAGGCTGTCCGGTCCGAGGCTGGCTTGGCGGGGACACCAGGGCCGTCGGTGCCTTTCTCCCAGTGGATGAGCAGCCCTCTGGGAACCAGCCCCCTTCAAGCGGGACACAGTCTTAACGGCAGCGACACTTTCAGGTGCTGAATTCTCTCCCAGACTCTGAAGAACTGACAGCCATTACCTTAAAATTACGTTCCAGCCCGTATAACACGGCCTGAGATTTTAATGTCTTCAGTATCATTGTCATCACCTAAGTTGTAATGTGACTTTATTGAACTGTCGTATTTAATCATATTTAATCAGGTTCCTTTTACAAATATTTATTCACTTTCAATCCCTGGAGATCTGCAACCATCATTTGGCCAAGTTTCAGGATTCAATAACAGAAAATTTAAACACTCCTTATGTTTCACTGTTGTTTTCAAGGAACAGAATACCTTTTCATACAATTTCTGATCTAATTTTTTCTTGGAATTGGGTTTCTTTCTGTCTTCTTGGAATTAAGCATTTTGTTTGTCATGGACGGTGCGTCATGTTACCTTTATAACGCCTTCCGCTCCTCTCTGTAGTTTTCATCCTTGTTTTATGATCTTTCTGTATATTTTTATTGTTCTTTGAGCTAATTTGTAAGCCTTCATAACGAAAGAGTTAACATGATTTTTTGTCTCTGTTCAATTAAATAAAGCACTGATATCTGTCAGAATATTGCTGAATCACGTACTAAAGACGGTTCCGAGTGCCAGATTACTTGCAGGATGCGGGGTTCCCTGGGAGCCGGTGTCGCCTGCCTCATCCCTGCCCCACTCTGTGCCTCCCGCTGGGGCCACACAGCCTCTTCCATTTCCAGGTTTTCCAGGTTTTATTAAATTCTTTTTGAAGCTTATTACTTGATAAACAGCAGTATAAATAAGGAAAATCAAGTGAGGATGCTTAAAAACTACCTTTACCATCTCACCTGCAAATGACTGGACCCTCATAGCCCATTTAAAACACCTGGAGAACTTTCTAGACTTGGGACTGGACTCCCACTGCCTTCGGATGGCTGGCCTGGCTGCATAAAACCAGCAGTGTCTTCCTGAAACCCATGTTGTTCAAACACCCAGAACAAGCTGGTATGACCTCAGATTTGTTCTTCCAGCCCGATCAAGTAAACAAAAGCCTTAAGCTGTCCTGAGTTTTGACTTTCATCTTCTAGGTTAAGTATTGACATGCTGCTGTGTTCACACGGGCCCCGCGGTCTGGCCTTGCCCATCCCTCTTCTTGCTGACGGGGACCTGCTCGGCCCCTAAGCTCCCGGCCACCCAGTGTGGGGTCCACCCTGGGCTGTGGTGAGGGAAGCAGGGACGCCTGGAACCCGCTGGTGTTGAGCCGTGCAAGCTCGCTGGTTGGGGACCCTTTGCTGAAGGCCAGTGGGCGCCTTCCGGGTGCTCCTTGGAGACCTGGTCAGCTACACAGCCTGCTGTGACCAGCCCAACCCTGACCACAGGCCCCAAGTGGCATGCGTCACCCTCGGCAGCTGCCTCCAGCTGACCGGGGGTGGATGATGTGGCAGAGCCGGGCTAGGAGGGTGGGCGTTAGGGCTGGGAGCTGGAGCCAGCAGGCTGCCCAGGGAGACCCCACCCAGGCAGGCAGGATGCGCTCCAGGGGCCCTGAGGGCACTCACCGCAAGGAGCCGAGGCAGCTGCCATTCAACTTCAGTTGGCTGAGGTTGGGCAGGTGCACCCCTGTGGGGCCACAGGAAGGAGAGGTCAGTGCAGGCCTGCCCCAGCCCCTGCTGTCCGATGGCTGCCCCAAAGCCCAGTGCAGCCTTGGGGACACAGGCTTATGTCATGCAGGGCAGGGGCAGAAGGTGCCCCAAGAGGACAGGGCCACGCCCAAGGCCACGAGGCCACTGGACTCCAGGGGAGAGGGGAGCCTGGCTGGCGTAGACGTGGCCAGAGCTTGGGTCCTGCTCCCAGGCCACCTCCCACGGCGGGGCCACAAGCACTGCTGGCACCCCAGACCACAGCCTCCATCAGCTCACACACTGGGGTCTAGAGCTCGGGAGCCCCCAGCCAGCATCCTGTGCAACCAAGGAGGGTTCTTAGTCACTGCCTCCCGTGGAGTACAGGGCACTGAGGCAGAGTCCTCAGTCCCTGGAGGAGGGCTGCAGCGGTCCAAAGACCAGGGCCTGGCGGGGGGCCTGCGCGGTCTGGCCTGGATGGTGGTGGGTGCAGGCAGGGCGGGGCTCTCACCAAAGTTCCCCAGGCTGTTCTCCCGGGTGTCGACACGCAGCTCCAGCCTGCTCACCAGCCCAAGGTCATCTGCCTGAGCCAGGGCGTGCTGCGGATGTCGGGGGGCAGTCAGTTCCGGGACTGGACAGTGGTCACCCCTCCACCCACAGGGACACCCCTGTTTTGGGCCACAAGACTGGAGCAGGTGGCAGACACTCCCTTGCCTTGCCCACACTGACCCTGGCCAGGACTAGCTCTGGCTGGGGGATATGCGTGATGTGGTGGGAGCAGAGGTCACAATCATGTATGCCCAGTGGGGCCACTGCCAGCTAAGGGCCTGCCCTGAGGGTGTCAGTGTACACATGCGCCCCACGGAACAGACCCAGTGCAGTTCACAGCTTGGAGCCCAGCTCTGCTGAGCATGGCTGCGCCCCAGCCTGCCTCAACCCCAGGGACAAGTATACTTGTGCTGTGAGCCCATAAATCTAGGGGTTGTTGGTCACTAACATCACTGCAGCAATAGCTGACTCATACAAAACTCGGGACCTAGACGCAATTCCAACAGGTACCACAACAAGAAAAATGAATGTGACCTTGGATTGGGGACTGGGGTCAGGAGTGGGGAGTGACGTGAGTGTTACTGGAGCCAGAAAGATGGAGACCCCCTGTCCCATGATGATGGAATTTTGGTAGAAGGGTCTCCTTAGTAACCTGGATGGTAGAAAAAGCACACAGTGAACTTGTGGCACTGGGTGGAGAAGTCCTAAGCAAGATGTGGCAGTGAGCTGGCCGCGGTGAAGTGTGTTGATGAGGTGCTATAGGAGACAGAGTTCAGAGGGGATGGAGAGGGCCCAGGACCTGTGGAACTTGTGGGCTTGAACAATAAAATGCTTTCTTCGCTCAAATCAGTAAAAGAAAAAACTACCAGGGCTTGAAGTTAGAATGACCCAGGAAGACAGCCTCCAGGAGAAGCCAGACTGCTGTGTGCCCGCCACAAGCGCGAGGCTCTGGGAGGGGAGAAATGCTTTCAGAAACAACCACAGGTGTGGTTCTTGGCGTGGCGTGCCCCAGACTCACACACATTAGAAAGCATGTGTGGCTCCGGACTGTTGACAGACAGAGTGCCATGGCCTGGCCTGAGGCTGACCGTGGCCATCGGGCTCTCTCCAGCAAAGAGCTGGGGAGAAGGAGGAGGGCCCAGGGCCGACAGAGTGGCTGCAGTCAGGGTGTGTTCCCAGCACAGGGACCTGGGGAGGTGCATACACTGTAGGCCCGGCTGGAGGGCTGCACACACGGGGCTGCCAGAGGCACAGGGAGGGGGGCCAGCAGGAATGACTCGCCCACCTGCAGTGACCAGACAGTGAGGATGCTTCTCCATGTTGGTCAGGAAGGTGGGTAGGGATGTCGGGCCACTACCTTCAGCCAAGTGTTTGGGTGAGTCACCTGGAGTCTCCAAGAGGCCCCTCCCCATATGCATCTCACCCCGGCGCTAGCGTGGGTGCAGGCTGGAGGGCTCCGTGGTAGGGGTTGCCCAACCCTCTGCGTGGCCAGTGGCGGCAAGGGGCTCAGCCAGTAGGGAGGGGGTGAGATGGCTGGGAGGTGTGGGGTCGCACGCTGGGGTCACTGGGTGGGAACCTGCAGACAAGAGGTCTCTGCAGAACCTGCTGGGTCTCAAGGTGAGGGTGGGGGAGCGGCAGCGGCCCTGAGGCCCAGGTTTCGGAGAGAGGCTTCAACAGCTGCCCCAGACACGGTCAGCGGGATGGCAGGATACCCCACCTGACCTGCCTGCCCAGTGGACTCCCGCCCGGGTTCTTCATCCACTCTGTGGGCCGCACACTTTGAAGGTCTATCACCCTGTCTCCTGTGAGAACGAGGGGCCTCCTCTCTGGGTCATGAAATGGTTCAAGGAGGGACCCCTGGAGCTCCGCACACAGTGTGTGCTCAGCAAATCTGTGGAAGGGCCTGACTCGGGCCCTTCTGTGGCCTGAGTGCCTGGGAGAGGTCTGCGCCACCAAACACGCAGGATTGGCCCTGAGCGTGGAGCAGGGGCAGGGGACAGAGAGGGTGGAGGGCATCTGTCAGCCAGGCTAGGCCACGAGGGCTGGGGACAGAGGGCCGGCTGGATAGCAGCCCCGGGACATCAGCCACGCAGGCCCACGCCTGAGCCCCAGCCCCACGCCTGAGCCCCAGCCCCCAGCCCCTACACTCACCAGTCGGGCAGGTGACAGGTACTCCTCCAGCAGCTGCTTGCTGTGGTCCCCGCCATGGCCACCTGGGTCCTGGCTCCGGGGGCAGGGGTTGTGCAGGCCCTGCCAACTCAGCTCCCGCACTCGGACCCTGGTTGTGCTTGGCTGAGGGCCAGGGCCTCTGTCCCAGGCCTGGTCCATTCACATCCAATGTGCTGGGCGAAGGCAGAGGGCACAGCTGTGAGCCTCTGCTCTTGCTCTGACATGCATGCAGCTCAGCAGAGACCCTGCACAGCCTGGACATGTGTCTGCACAGCCAGCCCCCAGATCCCCTCTGGGCCCCGGGAAGGCTCTGCCCTCACCACTTAGTAACAGCCTGCCTGAGGGCCTCGCAACCCCCTCCCTGAGCCTGGGCAGGCCACTCTCCATGGGTTTTTGCTCATCCTTCCGGGTCCACGCGAGGGGTCCTGGTGCTGGCCTCCCCATCTGAGGCCCATGTAGGCTGTGAGCCCAGGGGGCCGCCTCCAGGTCCTATTTGCTTGTTTGCCCGCTGTGCCGGCAAACCTCTGCCTCAGGCCTTGTGCTATGTGCATTTCTCTACCGGATGGGCTCTGGGTCCGGGGGTCTCAGGCCTTTTGCCATCCCACCCCTGTGCCCACCGAGCCCCCTCACCTGGAGGCAGCTGCCTTTTCCCACTGGGGGTCAAACACCTGGGCAAGAGGGCAGCATGTGGTCCCAGGCGGCACCTGTTAGAGAGAGTCAGGCTGGCCTCCTGGCTGGGCCACTGTAACTAAGGGACCTGGGACAGGCTGGGCCAAGGTCACAGGGCCCAGTAGCAAGCAGGTGCAGAGGCTGTAGGGGCTGCTGGCCTAGGGCCTGGTCCTAGGTCCTTTTGGTCATCCTGATGGGGCCCCTGACACGGCTGACGAGGAAGACAGCCATGTGGGTGACCGACGTTGGGGTCCCTCCAGAGCAAATGCCTTGTCTTCATTCAAATCCTCACTTCCTTCCATCTTTGACTGCAACTCCTCCAAAAGGGGTCCCCAGCCTGTCACTCTGGACCATCTTCCGTGCACAGGCCTCCCTGGCACCCCATCCCTCCTGAGCATTGCCCCCCCAGACCCCAGGGCAGGCTGTCCGCTGTGTCCAGGACTACCTGCACCAGGCTCCCCTGGCACCCCTCCTCAGAGACCCAGATGCCTGGGCCTGGCCTCAGACCCTGGAATCATCTCTGGGGGCAGAGCCAGAGGCCTGCTGGAACATCCTCCCTGCCTCCACCTCAGGTCAGGGCCTCGCCGACCCCCCTACTCCTGAGCTTCCTCCTGCCCTTCCTGGATTTACTTCTTAAGACTGGCCCCTCCCACAGCCCTCTGTGTTTCACAACTCATTCAGTTGAGTGCGTGCCTTGCTCCGAGTGCGTGCGTGTGCCCTGCGCCATGTCCTGCCCTGCCCATGGTGTGCAGAACGGGCTCTAAAATAACCCCTGAAAAATCAGTGAATGTGGCAGGTGCAGCCTCTGGCCAGTTCTTATCTACCAGCCCCTGTGGACATTCAACACTCATCCTGTCCATCAAGTCTAGAGACGCCTCCCTCGGCCTGGGCAGCTCTCCACTAGGCTCTGACAGAGAGGGTGTGAGACAGTACTGGGCCTTGGGAGTGCCCCCATGTGGAAAGTGACCCGTACACCAAGGACCCATGGAGGTTAACACCTCATGGAGTTTGTGGCCAGGATTTTTTCCCAAAAGTTCTTCTCCTGCCTGCCTTTCTCTCACTGGTGAAAGGCCCCAAACCTTGGAGGAGGGCCCCACCATCGGGCCCCCTGGGAAGATGCTGCGAGCTGTGGGCTATGGGGAAGGTATGGGCTAGCCAGGCCGTGGCCCTGGGGAGCCGGTACGCCACCCTCTTCCCTCCGTGCCTGAGAGCAGCTGACCTGAGATCTTGTCTGTGATTAGGCCCAGAGCACAGGTCCAGTCTAGCCCCAAGGTCTTGAGGTCCAAGGAGCAGGGCTGCAGCTCCCATCTAGACACTGTCCCCTCACATCCATTCGCGGGCCTGGACCTGTCCACACTGTTCATGGACCTGATGCCATCCTGCCCTACCACTCTGTGAGCCCCTGAGGTGGAAACCTGGGGGCCATTCCCTCTTCATAGTCCAGGCCATTTCCCAGCCTGGACCATCAGCTCTCTGGGTCCTCTCCACCTGCCATTCCTTCTGAGGGCATGGCCGGCTCCACTCCTAGGTCCCCACCACAGAACCCCCCAGAGTCTGGGTCTCTGCGCAGGTGACTGGGAGCGCCTCAGCGCACGGCCAGGGGTTGTGGGCAGGGTCCCCAGGGGACCTGATCTGACATCTGGGGCATCACTGGGACCCCACTGGCTTTGCTGCTTCGTCCTCGGCCTGTTTACCCCCTGGCACTGGGTAGGTAGCGAGGCCCGTGGCCCTGGACCCAAAGGCAAACTTAGTTCTCACCTGAGGGCTCGGCCCCAGTGCTCCGGCCCCGGGGGCTCGGCCCTGGGCGCCCTCCTCCGCCGGGCACTCTCTTCGACTCGGGGCGGTTCTTCCGGCGGCGGGGTTGAGAGCCCTGGGCGCCAAGGCAACGGGGGCGGGGCCTCGGCCGAAAACG